GTAACATGTTATTAACTAAAGCGCATTCGCTGTTCAAACTCCCTTCATTTTCCCTACTGTCCTTCTGCTCTAGGACCCCATGCTATGTGTGGTTTCTTATTTACCGGTCATGCCTGCTGACCCATAGGTGACTAGTGGCCTGGTGTTGGTCTAGAACAATCCAGCAGCTCCACTATGGGAGTCTCTCCAATTCCCTGGTTTCCTTAATTGAGGTCATACTGTGTGATTCAGGAGCACAGGATCACACCTCCTCGGATGCCTGTCACCACACCACACCCACCCACCCACCACCCAGCTGGCACCCACCATCCTTCATCAGGGTCCAAGTTTCCCCCTCCCACACCCCCTCCCCCCGGACCCGGCCCTGCAGCCTCAATCTCACAGTCAGATCTCCAGGGCTTGTCACTGGTTTGGCTTTATAAACTTTCCTTGCTTTTGATGACCTTGACAGTTCCTAGGAAGCCAGTTTGTTTGGTTTTTTTAAAGATCTATTTATTTATGCATACAAGAACTGGGGTACAGGCCAGAGGTGTGGGGGTGGGGGGAGAGAATTCACCAGAGCCAGAGTGGGGAACAGAACAGGCAGATGAAGTGAAATACACTGCTGAGGGGAGCAGCGGGTGGCAGGAGAGGTCTGCGCGCCATGTGGGACCCTCGCCGGTGGCCGGGGATCGAACCGGCACTGCAGAGGTTGAGGGCAGCTTCGCAGCCCAGCATTCAACCGCTGAGCCACCAGGGGAGACCCATGATTTTCCACTTTCTATTTCCCTTTAAATGGACTCACTTGCCCTAGGGGCAGCCCAGCACCTGGACATCCAAGAGCGGCCGGGAGGTGATCAGGCCTGTAAATCCGTGGGGGCTTTTCTGTCCTCTGCCTCTCCTCCTCCTCCTCTGGGAAGCTGGGGTGAGTGGCCTTGGGCCTGATCCTCAGGACTCCTGGGCTCTTCACTTCCTTCTCTGGCTAAGGCCAGTTCCTCTGGCCCCTCTGGGTGGGCCTCAGCCATCAGCCTGGCAGCTCCGTCCCCACCAGGAATCTCAGGCTCCACCTGAGATGGAGGCTGCTCCGCCTAGTTGGCCACAGGGCTCACTAGGGGTTTCCTAAAGGCTTATATTTTCCAGAGCCCCACCCACATGGGCTTAATTAAAGATGTGGGCAGAGAGACAGGTTAAAAGCAACCCCAGTTTAGGGCCTCCCTGGTGGCACAGGTGGTTGAGCGCAGCGCTGTGAAGCTGTCCGCAGCCTCTATAACGCGAGTTCGATCCCGGCCAGCTGCTGAGAATCCCACATGGTGCGACGGACCTCTCCTGTCTCAGCCCGCTGCTCCCCTCAGCAGTGTATTTCGTCAGTCTGCCTGTTCTGTTCCCCGCTCTGTCTCTGGTGAATCCTCTCACCCTCCTGCGCATCTGGCCTGTACCCCGGTTCTTGGATAAATAATTAAATCTTAAAAAAAAAAGCCACCCAGTTTAGACGGTCCAAGGCCCAAGGTGGGGTGCCTGGGGGTAGGATGCCTGGGTGGGGCGGCTCCCTGGGAAAGTCTTTGCAGCCAAATGTGGCTCAGCTGAGCACCAGGAAGACCTGGGCCTGGCCTTTCTAGAACATGCATTATCTGCTGGAGGCAAGCTTCTGGTTCTGCTTTTCCCTCATCTCAACAGGCACAGAATTTGGTGTGAAAATCTTTCTCCTATTTGCCCGTTGGAAGGGAAGATTTGTGCTGCACTCGGGGTCTTAGGGCCTTGTTATTCTTTCCCCGTCTTCGTCTTTCTTGTCCTTGGATCAGGGATAGAACTAGACGCATCCCCTCTGGGGTGCTGCCCATTTTATTTTGGGGGCAGATTAACTTGTTTCTTGAGTTCATGGGTTTGCAGATGGAGGGGAAGAACCCCCCCAGACCCCCCCAGATGCCCAGATGCAGGTGGTTTCCATGATGATACTTGGGGTCTTTTATTGACAAGATTTAGATGAGCTTTTTGGACTTAGAGTTGATGCTGTAAAAGGCATGAGATCTTCGGAGACCTTGGGACCCAGTGAATGTGTTTTATATTGGGGATGGACAGCATCTTTGGGGGTGAGGGGCAGGCTGGGTAGGCAGAATTGACCCCCTCACACCCAAAGTTGCCTGCGTCCTAACGCGGAAGCATGTGTGCATGCTGCCTCACGTGGCAGGAGCCTGCGGGTGTCACAGATGGAGGGCATTGAGCTGGCGGCCATTCTGGTGAGTTCAATCCAATCACGGATCCCTAAAGTGAGGTCTTTCTCAGGCTATACCCAGACGAGGCAGAGGAGGCCAGAGACTCGAGTTTCCATGCGTGCAGGGAGCAACCCAAGTCTTTTGCCTGCAGAGTGTGTCCCCAGAGCTGGGACCCAGCTCGGAAAGTGCTTGGTGACAGAAAGACCCGTGGCGCGAATGTTTTTTGAGCGCCACTGAGACGGCCTGGATTCCGTTGCAGCTTGTGGACCGGCTACTTCCCCTCGGTGACCCCAAATCACCCCTTCTCTACGGATGACAAAAATGAGGCTCAGAGATGTGGAGGGCTCCCAAGGTCGCTCAGTCGCCACCAGCGGGGATGGTGCTCCAAAGCAGGAGCGCATGCGGTTGCCAAATCCACCCCCGTCCCCACCTCCACCGCCAAGATGGCTTGGCTATACCGGGAAAAACTCGCATCGGCAACTGCAAGGTTTCAGGGGGAAGGGGAGGGAGGTGTTTGTTCTCTGCTTCCTTCTGTGACTTTTCTTCTTGGTCACCGGCGGCTGCACCGCTTCAGCGGCGCAGGGCTGCTCCGCCCGGGGCCGGCCTGCAGGGGGTGCCAGCACCTAAGTGTAAAGGCCCAGAGCAACCAGAGCCGGTCTGAGTCCCCGCAGAGCCCTCTGGAACCCAGGTCCTGCCTCCTCCCCAGCATCGCGGGGCAGCCCCTGGCCTCAGACCCGCCTGGCCGCAGCCTGCTGGCCAGATGCCCCCGGGCAAAGGACTCCATCCTCCGTGACTGCAGTTTTGTGACCGCAGTGCTCGCAGCTGTGCGCTGGGGGAGATGCACCTCCCGGGGCACTGACCGCAAAGTGAAGTCATCCCGGGGAGCTTCTGGGCCGTCCCTGGCACCGGACTCTTGGATGCATTTGCATTCTTTATCAGAGGAGCTCGGTGGTTCTCCGACAACCATTTCAGATCCGCCCAAACCACGTCTTTTTTTTTTCCTTTTCTGACTCACTTGTGTCTGTCCCTTTCCTCCAGCCTTTCACATCTTTATTTACATTCTGAACTGCAGCGTGGGGGCAAGCCTGGGAGCAAGCACCCCGAGGCTGGTTGGGAGCAAGCACCCCGAGGCTGGTTGGGAGCAAGCACCCCGAGTGCGGATTCAAAAGACCTCTCCGGCTGGCGGGAAGGGGGTTCCTTTCGCTGGAGAGCCGTGGCGTACCCCACGCAAGTTCAAGAGCACGGCCTTGGCTGTGTAATCCCTCCGGCTTCACCCAGCACTTACCACAGACGTGTGTGACGTGCCCCGTGCCGGGGGGAGACAGGGAGGTAGGACACAGCCACATGTCTGGAGAGCCCCCCAGGGGGACGGAGACCCCGACAGTAGACAGCTGGGCAGTGTATAGGCCTGTCTGCACTGTCTGCAGGGAACCGCGCTGAGAGGGACATCTGGGCCGGCCCCGTGAGCCTGCCATATAGCGTCCTGGGGAAGAGAATTATCTCCACTTCAGGACTGACCTGCCTGCCCAGAGTCAAGGGCAGGGCCAGACAGGGAAGGGCAGGAGCAGGACCAGAGCCCAGAGTGGCCAAGCCGCTCTCTCCCTAATGCTAAGCAGGAGCGGTCCCTTGGAGACATCCCGGTGCAGGGCCGTGTCTGCTGGACGTAGGTCACTGCGGCGGAAAAGCACATTCCTCCTCACCCTTGCAAGCGGCCAGTGTCCGCTGCATTTGGGTTGTGTGTGTCCTGAGGTTTGGGGGCCTGACAGAGATCAGGGCCACAGGGTTGTGGCTGAGACCCTTGGGATTTAAACATGAGTGTGCACACGGCGTGTCTTCCAGATTCTTTTCCCCTGGACCATTCAGCCATAAACAGCCCAGGAGACCAAACTCCCAACTCTCCAGATGGTCCTTCCTGCTCCTTCCTGCTCCACCTGATGCTCAAGATTTTGGCGGTAAAACTTGAGCTTTACAAGAACAGGCAACAGAAAGAATTAGGGAACTCAGCGATCCAAAACCAACCAAATGAGGGCTTTATTTTTTTTTCTAATGTAAAGCAGTTCCAAGAAAAGTGAAGTCACGGCCTCGGTTGCTTATTTTCAGTTCTTAGAAAAGAGCCAATTTCAAAAGGGAAGCAGCGCTGCCTCAGCACACGCCCACCCTGGCCTGGCAAGGCGTGCTTGCTGATAAACCAACTCTGATTTGGCACCAGAAAACTAAAACCCCCACCCGAGAGGCGCTGGATGATGTCAAGGAGGAAACGCTGGCCGAAACAGTGAGAGTTATTAATATTCAGGCAAACCGCAAGGCTGGGCTGGGAGACTGAGGTGCACACCTCCACCGCGGCGCCTGGAGCCCGGCTGGCGGCGGGGGCGCTGGAGAAAGCGGGCGCCCTCCCCTGCCCACCTCCCCGGCTCCCGAGACACGCACTGTCCAAGCAGTGCTATCAGCCCAATCGGCGTTTTTCAATCGGGCATTACTTCCCCGAAGTGAGGCGAAGACAGAGGGGGCAGGATATGGCGAGGAGGTTCTCAGCAGCCAGTCACTGTTCTAGCAGAAAAGCAGGTTTCAGATAAGGGGACTTATCGGAAGGAGGGCGGGCTTCAGTTTTAGGCTTTAAGGAGTTCACACACCCAGCTCCACGGCTACTTCTCGGGCACCCCATCATCATTGTGGAATGAAGTTGTTGTTTTTTTTAAGATTTTATTTATTTTTGTATACAAGAACTGGGATGTAGGCCAGGGGTGCTGCGGGTGAGAGAACTCACCAGAGAGAGTGGGGAGCAGCGGGGAGACAGCAGAGGTCTGCTGCGCCATGTGGGTCAGCTCCCTGGCCAGGGATAGAATTCAGGCATTCACGGTGGGCCTTTGTGGTGGTAGCCCTGAGCCTTAACCCCTAGGTCCCCAGGAGGCCCTGGAATGAAGTTTAAACAAGAATCCTCCAGCAAGAGAGCCCATAGAGTATATCAAAATGAAACGTCAGTAATTAAAAGCAACTGATGGACGGTCCCAGCCAGGAGGAGCCTCTCAGGAGACAGGATGACTAAATGTGGTGGGTTAACCTGGATGGGATCCTGGAACAGAAAGAGGACATTCGGGGGGGAAAAAAGCTAAGGAAGATGGATTAAGCATACACTTTGGTTCATCAAAACATTACACTATTGCTTCACTGTCACGAGTGTGCCATACTAATTGAAGATGCTAATAATAAAGGGACCCGGATGTGGGTATATTTGTACACTTTGTACTATCTGCAATTTTTCTGTAGTTCTAGAACGACTTGATACATAATTTTTTTAACAGCTGATGATGTAAGTAATAACATATTATTCCTCCCAGCAACAATTGCCTGGCACACGCAGAGGTGATTTACACACATCTTCATTTTATTCCTCACATCTGCGCAATGAAGTGGGTGTTGTATAATCTGCAATTTGTACTTGAGGAAACTAAAGCACAGGTTAGGTGACTTGCCCGCAGTCACACTGCAAATTGAAGGACAAAGGAAGGGCTTGTCAGGTCTCCAGAGGCGCAGGGCTCGTCGTCACTGCCCACCACCCCCAAACGCGGAACAAAAAACGCTGGGGGGCCTCCCTAGTGGTGCAAGGGGTTAAGTCTCAGCACTATGAAGCAATTTGCAGCCACTGTGACACAAGTTTGATCCCCAGCCAGGGAGCTGACCCACATGGCGCAGCAGACTTCACCTGTCTCGCCTGCTGCTTCCCTCAGCAGTGTATTTCAGTCAGTCTGCCTGTTCCGCTCCCCACTCTGTCTCTGGTGAATCCTCTCACCCCCCACACCTCTAGCTACACCCCAGTTCTTGTATGCATAAATAAATAAATTTAAAAAAAAGCTGGAGACAAGTGTCAAGTGGTCAACGAATGCAGATCAGCAATAAAAACACACACGTACAATGTGCACTTTCCAATTAGCCTCATTAAGAGAAAATGCTGTAGTTTAAACACAGCAGACCCAAAACTCTGACAATACCAAACGCTGGCAAAGGTTTGGCACAAGGGGAACGCTTGTCTCGTACATGGCTGAGGGGAACACAAAATGGTGTAGCAGCTTGGGGAGACGGGGCTTGAGACTGGCCCCCATTCACGTTGAAACCCAACCACAAATACAGTGTTAGGAGGTGGGCCGTTGGGAGGTGATTAATTCATGTGGTGGACCCCTCATGATGGGATTAGTGCCCGGATAAATGGGCCCCCAGGAACCCCTGGCCTATGTGGGAACACCATCTCTGAGCCAGGAAGTGCACTTTGAATCTGCTGGCACCTTGACCTTAGATCTCCAGAACCTTCGAGAAATAAGTTTCTGTTGTTTGTAAGCCCCCTGTCTATGGTGTTTTGTTACAGCAACCCAAGTGGACTGAGGCAGACAGTCTGGCAGTTCCTCACAAGGCGCAACATACCACGTGACCGCCGAGCGTGCCCCAGGCTTTCACCCCAAAAAGCTGAAAACTCATGTCCACACACACGTGTTTAATAGCAGCGCTATGAATGACTCCCAAAAGTTGGATTCAAAGATCTGCCCTTGAACAGGGGAATGGGTAAACAGACGGTGGTGGATCTATGCAATGGTGTGTTACTCAGCGATAAAAAGAAAGGAGCTATCGCGTTTCAAAAATACACGGAGAAGCCTTGAGTGCGTATTGCTAAGTGAAAGAAGCCAGTTGGAAAAAGTCGCTGTATGATCCAACTGCATGGCAGTCTGGAGAAGGCAAACTGTGGAGACGGAATGAGGGAGGGTGTTCGGAGCTGGGGGAGGGCGGGATGGCCAGGGCGGTGCCCCTCCCTATAACGCTTTTGTAAAACTCACAGAACTGCGCGCCCCAAAAGCGGCACCGAGAGCTAGCCACAGGCTTCAGCTGCTCCTCGGGTATGTTGGCTCCTCGCTTGTACCTGATGTTCCGCCCCACGGCAAGATACTAACGTGAGGGGAAACTGAGCGGGGAGTGTAGGGGAAGGCTGCACTCTCTTTTTCTCCCCTACGAATTTAAAGATGCTCTAAAAAATAGTCAACTTGGAAAAAAAAAAATAGCCTATGTAATAATTTATTCAAGGCATAAGATTAATAATTCAGCAAAACTCTATGGCAATATAGGCCCAGAACCTGGCTCCCCCGATAGTTATAATCTGTGGAAAAAACAGGAGGCCCTGGCAGAGCGCAGAGACCTGCCATCCAAAGCAACGAAGTTAAAAAGTCACGCCACACACAACAGACGTCCGAGCCAAGAGGTCGCCCCCTGCGTCTCACCGAAAGCCATGAGGCTGAAGGTGAGCAAATGCCTGAAAGTCGTTCTCAAGCTTGGTTTTAATTTCAACGTGCATTGTGGAAAGAGTCTCGCCATCTCCAGGTGAAGGGGGGTGCGGGCTGGCATCAGCGTCCACGTGGAAGGAGGAGGACCCCAACCAAGTTGCCGGGGGCCGAAGCAGACAGCTGCTGAGGAGGCCATTAGTCCTGCAAACTGGACGTGGAGGTTGTGGACAGGGGACCCTCGGAGCTGACGTCAGTCCTTTGCTTTCCTGGCCTAACTGCTCTGGGGGGGCCATGGGCTCGCCTGAGATTCAAATTCTGCATGTAAAATAGGATCCCAGCAGCCATGGAAAAAGGACCATCCCTGGTAAAATTGGGAAACTGCAGCTTGAGCTCCTGTGTGCGAGAGAGAGAGAGAGAGAGAGAGAGAGAGAGAGAGAGAGAGAGAGAGAGAGAGAGAGCGAGCGCATTAACACACATAAACAAAACAAAAAAAACAAGAGGGGGATAGGGATGAGCGAGAACATAACATCTGCTTTTCATCAGCAGTCAGTCGTCAGAGCAAAGGGCAGTGGAGGCTGAGTTAACTGAACTGTCCCAGCATCTAGAAATCCTACATCCGGACTCCTGGGTCAGCCAAAGCAAAGCTCCCTGCTCTCCGGGAAACTTGTGAGAAATCCACATTGAACAACATCCACGGGGCATAAAGATCCTAAGTGGTTTCAGACTTACTATTGTTGTTACCGAGGGCGCCAGCACCTAAGGGATACTCCTGTGCAAATCTGCCACTTCCAGCTCCCACATGCTCGCATGGATGGGATTATCGGAGAGCTCCGTCATCTTCACAGCCTGCAGGCAGGGCTCCGGGCTGCATGCCTGGACCACTCCCATGACCATCACATACTTTCCTAGAGGAAGAAGAAAAGCCGGTGACACAAACAATACGAACGAACATCGAAGACCAGAGACTAGCCCTTGGGAGGGCTTCACTCTATCAGAGGCAAAGTGGAGGGAAAAGAATTGTAGAGAGTAGACACCAAAATGCCATCAGTGATCAAAACCAATACACTGACAGTAAGTCTGATATTTATTTTTTTAAGGATTTATTTATTTATTTATGCATACAAGAGCTGGGGTATAGGCCAGAGGTGTGGGGGGTGAGAGGATTCACCAGAGACAGAGTGGGGAGCAGAGTGGGCGGATCTACTGAAATACACTGCTGAGGGGAGCAGCGGGGAGACAGGAGAGGTCTGCTGCGCCATGTGGGTAGCTCCCTGGCCAGGGATCCAACTCAGGGTTCAATGGCTGGTGAAAGCTTGACAGCACTGAGACTTAACCCCTGCGCCACCAGGGAGGCCCAAGCCCAACATTTAACCTGGAGAGTGACATCATTTCTTCTTTGGTTTCTGGTTTTAAAATGTTTTTTAAAAATCGCAGCTAGGGCCTCCCTGGTGGCACAGGGGTTGAAGTCCCTGCAGCAAGTAACCGTCATTCAGAGTTGGAGCAACTCTGCCTGAGAAATGAGAGAGTTTCACATCAGAGTTTGAGTATAATTAGACTGTTCTCAGGCAGAGACTAAAACCCAACCTTCCCTCTGGTTTTTGTTCTTTGCTCAGTGCCACAGACTCTGGCTGCTCTCTGCACTGGTCCCATCCTCTTTCTGCAAAGACACCCCCTAGCACCCCACAGCAAACTCAGTTTTCCTTTAGTGAGGCCAGAAGAGCGGGCGGGCAGCTCTCCTGCTCACCACTCTGCTGTTTCAACTGCCTGGACCTAGTCCCCACCGCTCGCTCCAGACCAGACCACCCAGACCGCCGGCAGGCACACACAAGCGCACCCGCAGGAGGGCGGCTGCCATCAGCAGCATCTAATGACACGTTCACCGACACACTTCCCATTCCCTTGAGGAAGTGGCTCTCCTTGAAAGCAAAACTTGGCCAGCTTTAACCACAAAAAACTCAATTGTGCAAAAAAACCCAAACACAGCAGAAGGGCAGACACAGCCAGCCCCATGGCGAGCCTCCACTTCCAGCGTCAGGACTGGGTCACATGCCCAACGGACCCCTGATCGAAAGATGCCAGGGAGCCAAGCAAGCCGACATCTCTGGCTTTCAAGGCCTGGCAGGACGGTCTCAGTTTTCTCCAACTCCATCTCCAGATTCTATCTGAGCAAGTAAAGGCCAGTCCTGAAAATACGCCGGCCACACCACTGCTGGTCCTGGAGCACAGGCAGAAATGAGCCCTGCAGAAAGAGAACCCGAGCCCAAGGAAAGTCACCAGGAAAGTCACCACTCCTAGGAAGGAGGCTGGTGGAGCTCTTTCCTCTTGAGGGGAGGCCGCCAGGTGCCAGTCCCGTTGGCCCCACCCAACCCTCTAGCCCCACAGCTGCCCCTCTGCCTTCTCCCCTCTCTCTTCCCCACCCACCCCTCCCTTCAGGCTGGCATTCAGCTGGCCTGGGCCACATCAGTGGCCTCCCAGCTGCCTTCTCTTCACAACCATCCTCACCCTGTGGCTGCAGGGACCGTTCTCAAATGCAGTTCCCGCCCCAAGGGCAATCTCTCACCCTGCAGGCCCGAGAGCAGGGAGAGCTCTGACTCAATTCTGTACCTGCGGCACCTGACACTCATGGAAACACACCCCTGGATGTTCCAGAGAAGGGGTGGGCCGCACTGATGTGATGAGTCTGATTAAAGGTCACTTGAGGCGGGCATTCCACAAACAGCTCGGCAGGATGGGAGCCCTCCCACCTTTCTCCACTGCCCCACATTTTACCCCAAGCTCCCCCAAGGCCAGGCTGGCTCTCCTTCTAGCCTTTGCAGCAGCTGTTTCAAGGTCCTGGCCAGCTGCCACTGCATGCGACACTGGGTGACCAACTTCCCAGCACTGCTTCAGTCCTGGGCAATGCGGGAGGTTGGGTCCCTATAGATGAAGCCACCATGCTTCCAGGTCACCTCCTCCAGGAAGTCCCCTCTGCCTCTGCAGGCCTGGATCAGGAATCCCTTTGCAGTGCCACAGCACCCTGTGCTCAAGCCTACAGTATTTCTTGGTGTTTTAGTAGTCTGCTTACTTTCCTGACTCACCTCCTGAAGGCAGTGACAGGGCTCTGTCAATCAAAACTTGTTATTAATTAGCAAAAGGAAATGAAAAAGTCCACACCTACAGGTATCCAGGCCAATTTGTAAATCAGGCACCAATGCTCAGTGCCTGCTAGGTACCTACGGGTGCCAAACCTAAGTCAGGGCTGGGACCAGATAGGGAAACTGCCCCTGCCTGCCTCCAAGGAGCACTGCCTGGGGTCAAGACCCAAAGTGTAGGCATTATAACAGGCATTACTACAAAACACACCCAGTCTATTTTTAACACACCAATCTTGTTTATAGCAAAATCCTTTTGCAGTATTTTAATAGACTTATTTTATAGGGGATACTTGAAACCAGTATTTAAGTTTTAAAAGACAATAATACTGGCATAGAAAAAAACAAGCAGCAAATACGTGCCATCTAATGTTTACTATATGGAATTTCCTGTAATATATTTATGTACTTTTTCATCAAAATGGAGTGATCATATGTGTTTCTACCTGCCTCATCTTTTTATGCATCTCACGTAGTAAATACACATCTTTAGACGTGAAAAACAGGGGCAAACTTTGCTTATCAAGGGCCAGAGGGTCTCTGTCAAAACTACTCAAGTCTGCAGCTGGGACGGGAAAACAAGCCTAGACATTACGTAGACTGAATGTGTTCTATTAAAACTTAACTGCTATTTGAATTTCATATGCTTTTCACATGTCAGGAAATCTTGTGACTTGTGCAACCGTTTGAAATGTGAAAGACATTTTTAGCCTCTCTCAGGCCACTTGGAGAGAGGCAGCGGCCTGCGAGAGCTGGGGGTGTTAGATCCCTGCTGAGAGTGGATTCCAGTCAGTCGGTTCTGCTCCCCACTGTGTCTCAGGTGACTCCTCGCCGCGCCCCCCGCCCCCCCGCCCCCGCCTCTGGCCCACATCCCAGCTCTTGTATGCGTAAATCAAATAATTCTTTAAAACAACAAGATCGCTGCTGAGGCAGAGGGCAGCGTTAAGGAGGCCAAACAGTGGGGTGGGGAGACCCCGCGGGGGGACGGCAGAATGTCACTGAAGGAGCCGGTCACACGCCGTCCTCGCCCCCTGCAGCCGGGAGCTGCGCTCAGGCCGTCTTTACCGTGCAGAGTCCACCCCGGGGCAGGCCCGGCACAGGAGGCTCAGAGAAGCGCTCTGGGGGGCTGAGCACAGCGTTCCCAGGCGGGAGAGACGCGCAAATGTCGGCCCCGCCCAGACGACAGCCCCGCGGGCAGGGAGGTGGGGTCCCGTCCCCGGAGTCAGGAGGGGCGGGGCGCCCCGAGCAGCCGCGGCCCCGGCTCAGAAGCCGCCACAGGAGCCGGCGCGAGCAGGCGGGCGGCGGGGGGACAGGGGGAGGAGGCCGGGGGGGGTGGGAGAGGCGGGGGGGGCGCGGGGGTGCGGGGGTGGCCGGGGGGGAAGCGCGGGAGGCCGGGGGGGGAGGCCGGGGGGGCGGGGGAGGGCCTGGGGAGGCCGGGGGTGCGGGGGGAGTCCTGGGGGGAGAGGACGGGGGGGGCGGGGGAGAGGCCGGGGTCGGGGAGGCCGGCTGGGGCCTCCGGAAGGGCCCGGGGGCCCCGGGCCGGGTGCGCGGCCGTTTCCCGGCGCTCCCTCCCGGCCGGGGGCCGGCGCGGGCCGCGGTTACCTGGGACGAGGCAGGGCCGCCCGCGCGGCACCCGCTCCAGGCCGCGCACCGAGAAGGGCCCGCTCGGGTCGCGCAGCCGCGCCGCGCCGCCGGCCGCCGCCTCCACGGTGCCCTGCATCCACACGGCCGCCAGCTCCAGCGGCCCGCGGCCCGCGGCCGCCCGCGACAGCCGCCACGCGCCCGGGCCGCCCTCCGCGTCGCGCCGCAGCTGCTCCGCCAGCACCTTGAAGGGCGGCGAGCGCGGCAGCCTCACGGGCCCCGGGCCGCCGCCTGAGAGCGAGGCCGCCGCCGCCGCCATGTTGTCAACTTTCCCGCCAACTTTGATAGGCAGCGAGGCCGGACCCGCGGCCACCAATCAGGGGCGCGCTGGCGGGGCCAGCCAATGGTCGGCGTCTGGGGGCGGGGCTCCCCGCTAGTCTCCAGAAGTGCGCATGCGTGTGTCAAGTAAATGCCCGCCCCAAACTGGGAATGAGTGGATGGAATGAGAGAATGAATGAATAAAGGAGGAAGGAGGAAAAGAACCGGTTCTTTCTTTGTTTTATTTTTATTTATGCATATAAGAGCTGGGGTGTAGGCCACAGGTGTGGGGGGGTGAGAGGATTCAGCAGAGAGTGGGGAGCAGAACAGGCGGATCCACTGAAATACACAAATGCGGGGAGACAGGAGAGGTCTGCCGCGCCATGTGGGTAGCTCCCTGGCCAGGGATCGAACTCGTGCCTCAGTGGTTGGCGATAGGTTGATAGCGCTGAAACTTCAACCCCAGCGTCACCAGGGAGGTTGGAAAACAGCGGTTTCAACGCAGCTAAAATTTGGCATGCATGCAAATATTGTAGGATGTGGGTATTCACCTCGTCTTGCACAGTAGGGTATGCTGAGTAAAAGGTAGTAAATAAATAATAATAATAAATAAAAATACTAGCAAATACTAAAGTGAATAGAATAGTGAGCCCCTATTTATTTGGAGTACCAAGAATCAAGTTAAGAGATAAGGCTGGGGGGCCTCCCTGGTGGCGCAAGGGGTTAAGACAAAATGTATGAAGCTGTCCGCAGCCACTGCAGCATGAGTTTGATCCCTAGCCAGGGAGAAACCCACATGGCACAGCAGACCTCTCCTGTCTCGCCCGCTGCTCCCCTCAGCAGTGTATTTTAGTCGGTCTGTCTGTTCTGCTCCCCACTCAGTCTCTGGAGAATCCTCTCACCCCCGCATCTCTGGCCTGTACCCCAGTTCTTGTATGCATAAATAAATAAATCTTTTTTAAAAAAAGAGAGAGATAAGGCAGGGAAGAGAGGCAGTGACAGCTGGTAAATTTAACATCATAAAAGAATTTAAAACTTAGTAAAATACAGTACTTTTTGAAACAAAGGAAATGCATATTCATTGTAGAAAATGTAGAAAGGAAATCTAGAATAAGGAAAAAATGTAAAACTCACTCAGCTATCCACCATTCACTCTTGGGAGTATTAGCATCCAGAATTTTATTTATTTAAAAAATTTTTTTTAATTTTATTTTTATATTCCCCATACAATTGCAACCCCCTTATTTTGACCCCAATCCCCCCTTTACTCGCCCCCCCCCATAGCATGTCTCTGGTTCATAGTTGTTTGTTGATTTTGATTTTTTCTTTCTTATAGTTATTCTTTTTCCTGGTCCCTTATTTAGGTTTTCTAAATTCCTGCTATGAGTGAGACCATCTGGTATTTTTCTTTTTCTTTCTGGCTTATTTCGCTGAGCATGATCCCTTCCAGCTCCAACCATGTTGCTGCAAACTGCATGTGTTTATCTTTTTTGATTGCTGAGTAATATTCCATTGTGTATATGTACCACGTCTTCTTGATCCAGTCATCTATTTTTGGGCATTCGAGTTGTTTCCAAAGCTTAGCTATTGTAAATAGTGCAGCATCCAGAATTTTAAAGTATATATTGTTGATAGACAAATATTTTGTATATTGTTTTCACTTAATAGTGAACATATTTCCATATCAACAAACATCCCTTCGACATTTCTGATAGCAGAATATTCTATTTGTCTCAATATATTTAACCAGTTTCCTAGAGTTGGACATTAATCTTTATACACATGTTTTAAATAAATTCCTAGAAATGGAATTTCTTCTTGGAAATTGGATGTTACTCATCAGCAAAATTCACAAGTCCTAAACCAAGTCATCTTAAAAACCAGGAGCCGCCCTTGGAAACTCCCTAACCCCCCCTTCCCCAGGGCCTCCTTCAGTCCAGGATACAGAGGGGACTCATCAAAGAGCTTGGTGTTTATAAAGAAGCTAAGACAGATCAAGCCAGGCCCTGTCCTAAGAGCTAGGTAGAGAGCATCCCATAGACTCTCAGCCCTGTAGTCTCTGTTCTATACAGATGGGGAAACTGAGGCTTAAGGAGCTAAGTGGCTTGCCATGACCTCTCTAGGAGTAGTCTCTGGAATCCTGGCTTCTACCCCTCAACCCCAAGCTTAGAGTAACCAGGCACCTGGGTTGAGAAGGGAGCCGGGATTTTAGCCAAGAGAACCTAAACCCCAATCTCTCCATACCAGGTAGGTTCCAACTGGCCTTCCACAAGGCACCTGAGTGCCAGAGAAATGATGGTGGGGTTGGGGGAGGGTGGGAGTTGGAGTGAAGACAGGGGCTCCCTGTCTGAGCCTGGGAATTTCTCATCATTCTCTTAGCCTTCAAATTTGCAAACACACAAACATACACACGTGCATGCACACACACCTCTCAAGCCCCATGCCACATGGGTTGTTGGCAGAGTGATCTTTCCATAACACAAGTCTGAACATATCAGCAGCTGGTTCATAATCTCCTGAAGGTATAATCCATACACCTGGCCTGTGAGCATTCCTACCAGGGGGAACTGCACCTGGAGAGCACAGAGAAGAGTAGGCAGGAAGCCTTAAGCAAACTGCCAGTATTTCTGAGCAACTGGGACACCCCGTACCGATGGAGGAGTGGAGACAGATGAGGCTGTACCTACAGAAACTTTTAGAAATGTTGAAAAATTTTAGAAATGTTGAAACTGGGGTTCAGGCCAACAAACTGGGGTTCAGGCTTCAGGTTCAGCCTGAAGCCTTGTGGCTAGTGAGGGGCAGAGCCAGGAGTCAAACCCAAGTCCATCTGACCCAAAACTTCATGTTCCTTGAACCGCATGGGCCTGTCACTGCTGCACATAGAAGATGCCCCCCTACCTTTGCTCATGCCACTTTCTGCTGACACGCCTTCCCAGTCTCCCCCAGCTAAAGCTTGGCTCAGTAATCAGGTGCCTTCCTATCACCAAGATATTTTCAGCAGTTTTGAGGTACTCCTTTCCAGACCAGTCAGCTGACACCCCAATCCAGGTGTCAAAACACAAATGACAATCCCCTTGCAAAACAAAGCAAGAAGCAACAATCAGTGAGCACTTACTCTGTGCCTGACATACATTATCTCCTTTATCTTCACGATGATAACCCCACGAGGCAGGTGCTATTATACCCATTGAATAGATGGTGGAGACTGAGGCCCAGATGGGTCTAACCTACCCAGGGTCAAACAGGGCAGAATCCTATACACTCACCACACAAGCCGCATTCCCACTCCTGGGCGTCTACCTGAGAGACGTGAAAACTTAGGCTCACACCAGCACATGGATGCTTTCAGAGGGCCACGCATGGATGCCCAAACTGGAGACGACCGGTGTCCTTCGTGGAGAAACAAACCAGGGAACCTCCACCCCTGAACTACTACTTGGCACTAAAAGAAAGGGATGGGAGACACTCAGCGCCTTGGCCGTCCAAGTCTCAAAGAATGATGCCAGGCACCAGTCCACCTACTGCGGGACTAAATGACATTCTGGAATGGCCAGAACCCATGGATGGAAGGCAGGGGCTGGGGGAGGACAATGATGACAAGGGGTCAGTAAGAAGGAATTTTGGGGGGCGATGGAATTGTTTTATGTCCTGGTTGTGCTGGTAGTTTCATGAACCTCAGAACTCGTAGAACTACATGCATGCATGCCCCCTGAGTCCCAGGCCAGGTGACTCTTGAGAATGCAGGAAAACACCGATCCCCTGCAGGGACTCACCTAGGAGACCCAAGAAAGTCCAACGGTTTATGAGTCTCTAAGAAGATATGCTGTATGTGACACGGGAGGTAGAGGGTGTGGAGGGGAGTGTGGAGAGGCTGTTTGGTGGGTACAGAGTATGAAAATGTTCTGGAACTATAATAGATAGAGGGGGTGGTCATATAATATTGTGACTGTACTAAGTGCCCCTCTGAATTGTACACCTTGAAAGAATTGTGTGGTCTGTGAATTTTGCCTTCATTTGGAAAAAAAAAAAAGCAAATATCCATTCAATCCAGAAAAAATATCCAGGGATAACCATGCCCTAAATCTACTCCAAGGAACCCAGGCCTAAGAGAGGCAAAGTAACTGGCCCAGGGTCACACAGCCAGCAGGAGGCCAAGCTCGAATCTGTCTGTCCAAAGCGCCAGTCCATCCCACTGGATGCATGGGACAAAATAGGTTAAATGTGGCCCCCCAAAGACAGGCGGTTGCCTGGAAGTGCTGGCCAGCTGTTTCTCCTCTGCCCAGAGTGACCTCGAATCAATGTAGGTGTGGTTGTGAAAACACCTTTCCAAAGCCGGCACAGACCCCAGTTCCAAGTCCTCCCTCCCCACCCAGCAGTGTGAACTGATTTATGTGAAAACTCTCCCAGGGGTGTCAGCAAGAAACCCGAGTCCTTACAGTGTACCTGAAGGGACCCCGTTCCCCGAAATGATCATAGTTCTGTGAAAGTGGAACCGTTCTAGAAAGTTGAGACTGGGCGTTGCCACACCATTTGCACAGAAAGAAAAAGCCTCTGAGCAAGCTGTGAGCAGGGATGTCTCCTTCCTGGGCAGGACAGCAAATGCGGACCTGAGACACTGAAGTGGGCTCAGCCGGCACGTTCTGCTGGTGGGCTGGGGGTTAGGTTGGGAGAGAGGCCTGGACACGCTGCCCACCTGCGGAAACCTCAGAGCAGTTTCTCCAAACCGGATGCCCCAACTGCCAGTCGTGGGTAGTTTCCTAACTGTCCTGGGGCTGAGGTTTTCTGGGGGGGGGGGGTCATGACCCTTGTTACAGGTTCACGGAGGTACACAGCCCTCCTACCTTGGAGCCTCCCCTGAAGGACTGAACCCCCAGCCTTGCAAAACAGCAACACTCTTGACTGAACCCAGCTGGCAACCAAGGAAGTGTGAATCAGCCCGAGAAGCCCTTTAAAACCCTCTTGTTAGGGAGCCACAGTTGCCGGCCGGCAGTGTTTGCATGA